ATCAATAACAAGCAGAAAATCCAACGCAGAGTAAGTGGAGGCGAAATATTTCGAAATAATAACGCACGAAAAAATCTCTCTCGATTGTTAAACGAAAGAGTAAGAGTAGAGTATGCTTATAATTTAAGGCAAAAAACATCACACATTAATGACAATCGAGAGGACTCCCGATATACTGACGGCTCTTATCAATTTACCAGAGAAGCAAATTCCGATCGAGAATTATCTGTGCGTACTGAGGAGCGCGATAACCGAAACAGATTAACTGAATACGAAAATAAAATGCAGGAGCAATCACGTCGTAATAATAACCGAGAAGAATCTCGACGTACTGATGAACGCGATAATGAACTTCAAATAACTGAACTAGAGGACTTAAGACAAGAGCAATCACGTGGTAATGATGTTCGAGAAAAATCTCGACGTACTGACGAACGCGATAATCAACTCCGAATAACTGAACGAGAGGACTCAAGGCAAGAGAAATCACGTCGTAATGATGATCGAGAATCTCGACGTACTGATGAACGCGATAATCAACTCCGAATAACTGAACGAGAGGACTTAAGGCGAGAGCAATCACGTCGTAATGATGATCGAGAAGAAACTCGACGTACTGATGAACGCGACAACCTCCGTAGATTAACTGAACGAGAGGATTTAAAGCGAGAGCAATCACATCGTAATGATGATCGAGAAGAATCTCGACGTACTGATGAACGCGACAACCTCCGTAGATTAACTGAACGAGAGGATTTAAGGCGAGAGCAATCACGTCGTAATAATGACCGAGAAGAATCTCGACGTACTGATGAACGCGACAATCTGCGCCGATTAACTGAACGAGAGGATTTAAGACGAGAGCAATCACGTCGTAATGATGATCGAGAAGAATCTCGACGTACTGATGAACGCGATAATCAACTTCGAATAACTGAACGAGAGGATTTAAGGCGAGAGCAATCTCTTCGTAATGATGACCGAGAAGAGTCTCGATGTGCTGATGAACGCGACAATCTGCGCCGATTAACTGAACGAGAGGATTTAAGGCGAGAGCAATCACGTCGTAATGATGACCGAGAAGAATCTCGACGTACTGATGAACGCGACAACCTCCGTAGATTAACTAAACGAGAGGATTTAAAGCGAGAGCAATCACGTCGTAATGTTGACCGAGAAGAATCTCGACGAACTGATGAATGCGATAATCAACTCCGAATAACTGAACGAGAGGACTTAAGGCGAGAGCAATCACGTCGTAATGATGACCGAGAAGAATCTCGACGTACTGATGAACGCGACAACCTCCGTAGATTAACTGAACGAGAGGATTTAAGGCGAGAGCAATTACGTCGTAATGATGAGCGAGAAGAATCTCGACGTACTGATGAACGCGACAATCTGCGCCGATTAACTGAACGACAGAACTCACGTTCGGAGCAATCATTTCGTTATAACGGAGAAGTATCTCGACGTATTGACGAAAGCGACAACCTACGTCGATTAACTGAACGAGAAAGTTTACGACAGGTGCAGTTACGTCTGAATGATAAACGTAGTGGTCAATACGACAACTTACGCCGATTTATGGAACGCGATGACTCAAGACAAAAATCACGTGACAAGGATAATGTAGGGCAATCCCGACGTTTCTTACAATCTGATGTTGAATATAGAGGCAATAGCGCTACTCAACAAACCTACGAGGAAGTTTCTATCAACACATTTAAGAATATTAAGCGAAATTACATACTCCAGAGCTTATTTTTGGCTATTATCATAATGAAACTTTTATCTGATAATCTCAAAACGTAAGTACACTGCACAAATAAAATGTTTCGCTCTATAAATATTTAATGTCTTAAACTTTTTCAGTAAGCTTTATATTAATAAATTCAATCAGGCTGTGAAATTAGTTGGATTTTAATGGATAATCTCTTTGCGGAATGAATCGTCTTGTATTGTATATAAAATAACACTGAAGACAAGAAAATAATATGATATACCCATGAGCAACACGTTTAACAAAGATTATATATGTATATATAAATATATTAAAATGTTATTTGAAAAATATGTTAAATAAATTTTAAAAGCATGTTAAGAGCAGAGTTTTCATTTTTGTGTGGAGATTTTTGAGTAATTGACATTTTGCATCACTAAAGATACTGAAACTACCAAGTTTAGTTATTGGCAAACTAATCCAGATAAAGAATTCAGTAATATTAAACAATTTGAAGTTAATGAATATAGGTTCAATATTATATTAGATATTTGTATAAAATATTTGTAGTTGATATTGAAAGATTAAAAAACAGTCTTGGCTCATTATATAGTTGTGTCAGATTTTGCGAACTGCTTTAGACTACTATGAAAAAGTCCATTGGTTCTAATAAATATATATGTATAATAAATATTTTCATTATAATTATTTAAATACTATAATTGCTTTAAAGATTGTATATTCATATTTGGAATATACTATATATATTTATAACTACTTAGAGTACATTTGTAAGTCAGTGTATTTGATACAGTCTTAGTGATTCACCTTCCATTCCACTGTTCGGAGATTTGAAATCTGTTGCCGCATGACATTTTTAATACCTATAATTTCACAATATTCCAAATTAATACTTTATTCACATTATTTATGTACAAATACTTACTATTTTTATATCACTAAGTTTACCAATATAAATCAATTATAGGAACTAAGGCATTTGCTTCTTAAATAATTTTATTAGTTTTCTGCTATACATAATTTATTTTGTAAAATCTAAAAAATAAGCATAAAATTAAATAGAACTTTATGTATAGACTAAAGTTTTATGAGCTCTTTACAGTCACATAGTGGTGTTCAAGCGATCATTTATTTCTTTAGATGTTTTGGGGCCAACATTTGCTATAGGTGACTGTTTTCCATCTTCCTTTTCAGTACTTCCCGGCTTTTCATCAGTTTTTGCTAATGTACGCTCGATTTTCACATAATCGTATTCATTTAGCTCTGAAAGCTTTAGAGTTATACTTTGTAGTTCCCGTTTTCTCATATTTATAGATAAATTTTATTTTTATATCACAGAAATATAATTAATTTCTTTCAAGAAAGAATAACTATTAAAAATAGTATAATCTTCTTGACGCTGCTCTTGACAAGCTGTTTTTCAATTAAATGTCATTACAAATTTCAAGTGTTATACTGCAATTGTACTAGATGTGACAGTTTTGTAATTTTCTGATGATATTCACGATTCGGTTATCTAACGTCAAATATATTTCAACTTGCATAAAATACAAAACTTAATTATTTCAATTACATTTTGTTATTTTGCTAAAATATTTAGAGTGATATAAACTTGTTTCGATTGTTATACTTAGCGCTTAAAATTTACGAAACGAAAATTATGTATGTAAACGATTTTAAAAATTTGTAATTACATAAATATTATAGATAAATAATTATAGATAAGCAAATTAATAGATATAGAAAGTTGATATAACTGAAGAAAATATTTCAGTTAAAAGAATTCGGTTTTTAATGTTATATATGTTTCTCTTAATTGTTCGGTTGTCTTAAATTATAATTCCATATTTCATTGAAAGATCAATTAGCATATACCAAATCTCACCAATACATTTTTGTAAGCATTTTGTTTTGATTTTATGTGAAAATATATTCGTTAAGTATTCGTCGAGTTAATTACTATGATGTAAACATGTCATTAGGGTTTAACATTTAACTAAACACACATGTGTCGAATTTGACATTATAATGGTATTTATATTAATTTTAAATTTTATTTATGTGTCTAATATATAATATATAAGAAGGACCTTATTTAGTGTCTTTTTTAAATGACATTGTAATAATAACAACAATAATGCTTTTAGTTATGTTAAAACTTTAGTATAATTCAATAATTGCTGCTCTCAAACTTAACACCCAATAAATGCCGTAAATCTAGAGTTATTTTCTTAATCGAGGTCCACTTTTAGTGCAATTTTCACTTACGATTGATAAAACTCGATCAAAATGTATAACACTTGATATTAATTTATAACACTCTAAATATTTTGCCAGAATAGCAAGATTAGCTTGAAATTAATAGCTGTTTTATATGACTTGACAGTTAAAGTGTGATTTGATTTGACATATCTATTTAAAATATATATAAATGTCTATGACTACTACAAATATATTGTATTACTCTAAAAACACCCGATTGGGCGAAAAAATTTTTCAGACCGTAAATAAATCTTGATTGAATCTAGATTTACTAATCGAAAACGATATAACACCAATTAGCATCAACTTTGACAATTACTTGCATACATTTTCAACTGTTATACATATTTTATGATAGGGCAACCCTTGCATTTGTTTTATATTTCATTTCTTTTTTTCGAAATGTCAAACATTATTTCTCGACATTTCATGCGTGAATATTGGGTACTGTCGCACTCTACTTAGTTTTTTCTATTTTTTTGTAATATACGCGTTACGTGTGTGAGAATTATTTAATTTAATTAAATTATAATTTAATAAATAATATATTTGCGACATAACATAAAATGTGTTCTAGAAATTGATAACAAATGCATTTCTTTAGATACATGTAAAATGCCAAGTGTTAAGGTTCAACTGATATCAAATCGTAAAAGAGCATTAAAATAAATCACAAAAAAAAAATAATTTGTTAAATAATTACAAAAATTTTAATAAGTTTGTAAAAAAAATTAATTTCTTATTTTTTCCGATATATATTGTCAAATTGTATTTGTGTTCTGTTAATATTTGACCAGCGCTCGCCCTCCACTTCGATTCCGTTAGCTAACAGCAATAAGAAGGAGCGCAACATCTACACAAGTGAAAGTTATCTCTGCCGTGTGACCGTAACTGGATTTTGATTAATATTTTTCGCAGTTTTAAAATTTTGCCATTTAATCACTGTTTTTTTTTGTGTTCTTATTCGTTATAATGCGCTTTTTTTTTGCTCTTAAATAAATGTTTTCAAATAAATTTCTTAACTTAAACTAGTGGCGCAATTTTGCTTAATATACGACGTCATAATAGTAACAGAAACGTTTATGGTGGCATTTTGGTGTAAAAATTGTTAGTGCTTCTTTCTTGGATTTTAAATTACAGTCAGTCTTGCAAGTCAAATAACATCAGCAAAAACAAAAACAAAAACAAAAACAACAATAAATACAAATACACGTTCAACATGGGCTTGCTTTTATCAAAATTGTGGAGCATGTTTGGCAACGAAGGTAATTATTAAGTGTAATTAACGTTAATTGTATAACAGTTTACTTCATAAAGTATTTTATTGTTGTTGGTTAATAACAATTAAAAAAGGAAATATTTAAAAAAAAATATGAAGAAATATTAAATATTTAGTCCATCTATTTTATGGTTTAAAAGCGCATAGAATATAAATTAAGAAATTTTTATTGTAATTGGAGAGATCCATTGTAATACAAATATCATCTATTCGATCTGTTTATTACGGTTATTCTAGGAATCTATTTAAACCTGTTGAACCGTTGTATTGTACGACCTAATTGAATAGTTAATTAATAGATGGTAATTATTAAACGTAATTAACGTTAATTGTATAACAGTTGCATTTTATTGTTATTGGTTAATAACTATTAAAAAAGAAATTATTTTTTTTAAAAAATGAAGAAATTTTAAATATTTAGACCATCCATTTTATGCTTTACAAGTACATAGAACATAAATTAAGAAATGTTTAATGTAATTGGAGAAATGAATTCTAAGGCCCTGTGCGAGTACGAGTAAATGGAGGTAAATTGAATTGAAATTTCTTAGGGATTTTTCGCACTGCACTTATGTAAATATTTATTTATTTATTTATAGCACTTAATTTACTTAATTTAATTTAATTTAATTTAATTTACCTAATTTTGGTCTAATTTACCCAACTCGAAATTCTGGTAAATATCAACATTTACTAGCATACCGACATAATTTACTATTTCCGTCAATTTATCATCATTTCACTCGAATTCGCACACGGCCTAAAACAAATATCTATTCGGTCTATTTATTACGTTTATTCTATGGATCTATTTAAGTCTGTTGAACCGTTGTATTGTTCAAAGACCTAATAGAAGTTGTTTTTTTTTCAAATAAAAATGTTTACAGTTTTATATTTATATGTTATGTATAAATTTTTTTTTATATTTTTAAATTGATTTTTTGCTGAGAAGAAATTAATTGAGATGTATCTCAATATATCGAATAATATTTTATGTTCACTTAAAGGTCAATTAACTTGTAATTCTCAACAAAAGCGTAAATGACTAACAAATTTTGTTTACTTTTTCGGTTTAATTTTTGTTTGAGTATCGCCCATGAATCAACCAAATTCAGGCCAAAGAGAGTTTTCTCTTTTATGTCTGCAATTAGTATTTCCGACAAGCATTTCATCATAGGGGAATAGATATATAATTTACTTTAATTTTGTTAGTAATATTTATTGCTTTTATTAACACAATTTTTTACTCTTTGAGTACAAAAAATATATAATTTAATATATACAATTTTATTAAATTATATATCCAATTTAAGGAAAAAAACTAGTATTTAAAAAAAAGAGGTAAATATGTGATGAATATTACTAATAACAACAACTTCAATAGTTAATTGCATTTAAATATAGCGGTGGTTTATGCATTTGTGCTGAGAGATATACCGTAACATTGGTAAAACAACAACATATTGACAAATCTTCAAATTTAAATACCACAAGTCAAGTATGACGTTGACTTAGGTGATTGAAACCTAACCTAAGGGTTAATTCTTAACCTATAAAACTTAGTCTTAAAATTGTGTATGAATTGTTGAAATCAAAAAAAATTATTGCAAAGATCACTGATAGAGCATATTAAGCAAAACTCAAAACAGTTTATTTACACAGCTGCTAAAAATTTAAATTAATTAAAAAAAATATATACATGTTTTGTTGTCATATTTTTTTATTATATTATTACTTACTTACTGTTGTTCTCTTCTCCTCGTAGAGCATAGGGCCCTCTACCATAGATCTATACCGAACTTTATTGAGTGCATTGCGGCATATATCATTCCGGTTATAATTTGCATTATTGAGTTCTCTCTCTGTAGATTTACACCAAGTTTGTGCTGGTGCATCAGGCCCTTTAGAGCCTTGAGGGTTTTATGTTAGTGCTGTTCTTGTGTGGCTAATTTATCGCTATTTACGTCGATCAATCTGAACTAGAATGGCTCTTTGTTGTGTACGGCACCACAGGTCTTCATTTCTTATTCTTTCAATCCATCTTATATTAAGTATTTTATGCAAACAGTTTTTTATGAAGGTCTCTATTCAATGTGCTTGGAATGTTTCTATGGTTTAAAGCCATAGAAGAGCACAGATTTTATATTTAATTCGAAAATGCGGGGTTTCGTTTTATGAGATATTTGGCTTGATTTCCATATGTTCCTCAGCATATTATTTTATTATCCCTTTTCTACTTCTAATTCTTCGGGTTGTTATTCTTATTTTGATTTTACTAATCATTTCACATTACCTACAAGTATCTATTATTTGATAGAAAATCCACTGTTCATCACATTCTGTAAATACCAATAATGTCAAATTATCAATTTTATCTTTCTTATATTGTCTAAATCCCACGATGACATAGGTTCTTAGCAAAACTTATTCAGATGTTGTGATTATTAGGAAGTGCTTTCGGTTTACTATATTTATTTTCTTTTATTTTCTATTTTCAAAATACTGCGATTTTATAACGTTTTTAGCCTTCCAGATTTTATTAATCACTGAGAATTTTAGGGCAGTTGCAGATGATAGGGTTCTCTAACATGTCACCGATCCAGTTCCAGTTTCCCCTTTTCGTGATAATTAAAATAGGATTTATGTTGCATCTACTAAAAAGAGACAGGACATTGTTCATGTTTGACCATTATCTTAATATTTATTAATGTCATTGTGAGGTGTCAATATTTCTCCAATTTGACGATTTTAGTTTGATTTGACTATTTGACGCCTAGTTGGCTTTAAAGCCATTGTGTCTTATTTAGTGGTTTAAAATGAGTTTACTTCTGTTTGGTGTAGAAACTGTAGAATTGTGGAAAAATAGTTCTTAAACATTTAGAAACTATTGACTTTAATTCTATATAAGTTGTGTGCAATGGAATTAGACTTCTACATAAAATCATTGTAACTATCTCGTATCATTTCATCTGTCTCTGAAAAAGAATATAGAGCCGGGAGCTTCTATCCCTGTTTGATTTTAGAAAATCCTCTTCACATCTTTGCTTAGTTCGGTTAGAAGCAATTGTTAAATCAAACATTCTACAGTAGTCGCTTTGCTTTAAGGGTTCTCTGAGAGTCGAGAATCCTGTTATATTCTATTCTATATTATTTGTAGTAGCTTGATTAAAAGCTGAAAGTCAAGAGTAGTTGTGTTTATTTTAAGGAAATTCAACTCTATTCATAAATGCATAATAGAAAATTTTTTCATTATATTCCACATGTTTGAAACTGAATTTATTAAAAAATCTTAAGCTAATAATGCGTTTTTGTTTACTTCATTGTTTGTATTTTAAACAAAAGTATTCGCATGTGAAATTTATCTACAGAAATTGCTTTTGTTTACGGTCAGTTACACTGTTTACACTTTACTGATGAGATTCTCATAAATCATTTTGAAAATTATATCAACAACTTCTCTGCACTGGTTTCATGCTTCAAATGTAAACAGTTTTACTTTCAAGCTAAGTAATAAAATTCCAATGCAGTAGAGATACAACATAGCATAGTTAGATACAGATACTAGTATCTAAGTTGTTCAAGTCGTACTTGTTCCATTTCAATTACCAAAAATGGTTTCGAAAGTCAAATTATTTTACCAAACGCTGCGTTGTCTGAAATCGTATGAATTCAGCATAAAAAACTAATTTGTATTTCGTAGATACATTTTTTTTTTGTATTAAATAACCTTGCAAATGGCATAATGTGTATGAAAATAAGTTCGGTCATGGACGTACGTTCAATACATTACACCCACCCTCGAGTATAAGAAAATACGAGAAAAAAAAAACCTTAAGACGATTAAAGAATTATTTCAAATATATGCTTAATATATACGTCAATTGTGAAGAAATATATTTCTTTATAGTTGTAGTCATTACTATAAAAATGCTATAATTGTAAATAAATAGATAATATTAAAATTAATATGTTTAATATTAATTAATAATTAAAAGACACACAAGTCGAGTGTGTTGTGAGGAACAGTCCACTCATTCTTATTTTAATGAGTCAAACTATTCTACATTATATCAGTCCATGAGGCTCTTTGGAGACTCATCAATAATCCCATAACCTATGGGTTATGGGCAACAAGCCTTTATAAATTATTAATTTCTATATATTACAATTAGTGTGAAATCTAGCTGCTATAACCCAATAGGGATTTGTAACCGACATTTAGCGTTGATATAGTACTAAATACAGATTACCGCAGATTGTTTGTTTTTCCTCGCATTATTCTAACTCCTAGATAATTATTTTAAATCACTTATATTTTAATTTTAAGTATGCTAATTCTTCTGTTCGATATATGGATGTTAAATTCCATTATGCAAATAAGCGTCTTTGTACATAAGCTATTCGTGTTTAACAGCAAATAAGTGTTATTTTTTTCCCTTATAGAAGTGTTCATAAAAATTTTCGAAAATTAGAAGTTATTAACCTTTGTTCCATAGTTTAGTAATACGTCCGGGTCGCTGTTTTGTAAGTGATATTATAGGCATCTGACCTTCAAACTTGTCTGATTCTATGCTTTTACTTTTACTTTTACTTTTATACGCTTTAGTAAGATGTTGACACACCTCTGTTACTTCCATGTGGACTCAGGTGCCAGAGGCTAAATTAATAGAAATAGGTGGCAGCACGAATAGGATTAAGTGTCAAATTTAAGTCGGAGAGGTTATAAATGCAGCGTCCGGGCTTCTTGCTTATCTTCTGTTATACGAGAGCGCTTTGATAAGTCAGTGACTTTTTGAATAAAACAAATTTTTTTTGGCAAATAAACATTTTATTTTTCTACATAATCACCTTTTAGCTCGATACTTTTCTTACTTTCTTAGTCCAGCGTTTTTCTTATTTTCTTACCAAATAATAGGTTTTCTCAAAGCTCTCAAAATAAATAACTTCTTCATTCGACTCAAATCTCTTACCGCTCAGCTATTTCTT